GTGTGTGTGTGTGTGTGTGTGTGTGTGTGTGCGCAGAGTTTAGTAGGATTACAATCTGACAAACAAAGCTCTTACCGCGTCGGCCATGTTGACCACTGCTTTGGCAAAGTTCTTGGTTTGGCTGCTTGAGCTACGCAGCTGTACAAACTGTGAAGAGACAAAGACACACAGATGGCTCAAGAGATGGATCACATTTTCAAACACACACAAGAACACGTAAACACACATTTGTACTTTTACACTTAATTACGTAATCGATATCAAACAGAAATCTAACAGATCTTATTTCCATGTATTACTTACATCAGCAGCAGCTGACAGTGATGGCCAGAGTTCCGTTACAGAAATCTATGCACTGCGCTGTGCTGACTGCATTTCTGATAAATCATACATCTCCTACCTCTCATACAAAGTAAAACAAGTCCAACCACGATGAAATAAACGTTTTCACACTCTATGAAGGTCTGCAAGGTGGGGAAACTGTTTCAATGTCCTCTGATTCAACATGATGACTAAAAACTTAGTTCAACCACACATTTACAGACTTGATCTTAATCATTCTTCAGAGCTCTTGATCATTCAAATCCTTATTCACTCAGCATCCAGTCTTAAAAGGCAGCACTGGAGTTTATTTTGGTTTTATAGAGAATATTTTAATTTCAAGAGTAATATAATATATATAATTCATCCAGGAGCAACTCTATTCTACTGATGTTAAAGATGACAAGCACATTTTGTTTTGTTCTGGTTAATTGTTTGGGTAAGAAAATCATCCGTTTATTATATAATGTTGGCTTTATCTCTGACCATGTTTTACCTGCGTGCACGCTGTAGCTGACATATTGTATCAGCCTTTAAATTTGTTGACTATATAAACAATGCAAAAAGTAGTGCCTTTATTTTTAGATTTTTTTTTAAACATATTTATTTTCTCAATCAAATGGGGCTTTACAAGGTGCAACATCCTCTGTCCTTAACCCTCGACCAGGAACCTTCTTGCTGTAAGCCATATGTAGTCCAAAAATGTAACCACACATTTAGATTTTTAACTCACCATTTCATTGTCGTTGATCACCATCAACTCAATGTATTTGGTCTCGGTCTGGACAGAGGGCTTGCGAACAAATCTCTTGGCTCTCCTCAGGCCCCCGGACACCTGCTGCTCCCTCATTTGGTCTGATCTCGTGTCATCACCATCACCTCCTCTGCGATCCCACTCACTGTCCTCTGTACAGTCTGGACAGAGAGGCAGGAATGGCGACTTGACTTTTTTCAACAAGCAATTTACAGCAGCTTACTGTCTCATTTTCAGTCGAAAGGTTAGAGTTTCCAATCGAAAAAAGCTGTGACTGTAATTAACCCTGTTTGAACTGAAAAAAAACGACATCCCCTTCAATAATCCTGTTTGTTTTGTCTGAACTGTTCCGTCTCGTTAGTGTGAACAATTTCTGTCTTTTTGATTTTATTGTAAAATGAAATAAGAAAATAGTTATTCTGCATTCTAGAGTGTGCAGCTGCCTGTGTTGGAGGTTTATTGGACAGTAAGATAAGTTTGATGTGATTAAGATAAGAAGAGACTTGAAAGCAATATTATTCTGATGTGAATCAGTCGTAACTAGTAGTTACTAAGCACGTACGTACCCGTGCAGTGGGGGGAGAGTCTGATATCAGGCATCCTGCGGATTAAGTGAGCGCCATCATCCTAATAACAGAAAACATCCAGATGACATTCGACACAAAATCGTCTTCCAGACTGAATTAAATTCATGCTGGACCGTTTAATAGAAGGACTGTTTACCTGACTGGTTCCATTGTTCAGGGGCTCGATCCCATAAGAGAAGAAGCCGTCAGAAAACATGCCACTGAGAACCAATCAGACGAGATGCAGAGCAGAAAGGGCAGAATTGATTTAAAAAAGAAAACAGAGCTATGATGAGAAATCAAGACATAATTATCTCCACCAAGGGGGTGATGTCCCCTGTCTGTTTGTTTGTTTGTAAGCAACATTACACAAAAACAACTGGATGGATTGCTACGAAACTTGATCTAGATTAGGGAGCAAGAGATCTAGGATTTTTTTAAATCACTTTCTTCAAGGCCAATTTTCAACATTTTCACTGATTACCCAAAGAATAATTCATGGATCTTTGTGAAAAATCAGCCACATTTCCAGGACTGAATCTATGAGTGTGTGAAATTTGGTGCGGCTTGATTGAATGTAAGGCAACTGTTGGGCCTTGGTGGAGGGATGCATTCTACTGAGAGCGTGTTATGTATGTATAAAAAAACATAAGCAGTGCAACTTTACATCACCTGATTAGCATGCAAGGCTAACTGATAATTGATGTTGCAAATAAAAGTTAATATTCAGGCTCACCACAGGCCGTGGCAGGTGGAGACAGCAGCCCAGGACTCTGGTAAACCTCTTAACCTTCCCTGGTAGTAGCAGTGCTCCCCTCCCTGTGGACACAACGCAGCGCTCTTTCATCAAACAACCACTAGTGATGCTCTCATATACCTTCACCGGATATCGTGAGGGGTCAACTCAGAGGAGAAAACCTCTCACAACCTATGCATATGTGACTCCCCTCTCCCTCTCACCCCCACTGTGGCGTTTATGGAACACTTTATGACCTACTTGTGCACTGTGCTCTACTCCACACTGCTCTGCTCTACTGACAACAGAGGTGGAAGTGGACCCAGCGCAGGGATCTTTTCAATAAATCAACACTCGTGTCACCCACACAGTAAGATCTGAGGATTTAACATGAGGCAGGGGCATAACTGTGCAGTGTGCACGCCGCAGCTGAAAGTCACAAGATGAAAGCGAAAAAGCATTTCTGCTCTGCTCCCTTTTTTTTTGTCCTTTAACAACCTTGACTACCACAGCAGAGCCCCTGCAAGCACTCCCCCCAAAAAACGGGCACACAGAGATCACAGCGGTGAAGGTGAACCTCCAGGAAAAGTGAGACAAGTGAGAAACACTGGATCACCTGGATCTAATCAGGTTCGGCCCAGAGTCTCGGCCTCGCAACAACACCTCAGGCAAACAACACCTCTAGTGAAAATAGAAGTGCGTTGACGACAGGGACGAGACTGGTGACGTGCTGCCCTGAATGCATCACGCCTGCCCTATGTCCAGCAGCGACATCAGAGGCATCGCATGAGGCCTCCATCAAGCGGAGCAACAATCTGGCCTGACTGCAGGGTCTCCATCCCCTCCTCTCCCTCGCCAACCGCTCTGGGAACCAACGACCTCAAAGAGCACACACACGTCCGCAAAATTACTCCTCCCTGGTTCCAAAGCCTTTTGTGTTAACTGTCATCCTCCTCCTCTCTCACTGCTCTTCCCTCCCTCTTCTTTCATTCTCTTTGCTGCCAAGAACTTAATGACACTGCTGAGATAACTGGTTGCTATGGAAACAGGCTCACGATTGGTCAGGAGGACCGAGGGAGAGTTTGGAAGGATCGTGTGTGGGGGACATGAAGTGTTGGGTGGGTGGGTGGGTGGGTGGGTGGGTGTTGGGGGGCGGGTCAGCGAGTGGCACATTTGTTCAGAAAACAAAACAAAGAGAAACATCCCTCGTGGCGAGCAAATTACAGAGACATTCCTCCGGTCGGTCCTGATGAGCTCATTAGATGTCAAGGCTTTCATCCATTTACCCACTGTCTCTTCATGGCTCTCTCTCTGAGCTCGTGGTTTTACACCACAGGCATCCACTGCCTTTTTCTCTTTGCTCATCTGAAAAAGGCCACGGCTAAGAGGCACACGCCGCTGACATGCAAACCCACGTATGTGTAGGACGATAACATACATGATGTGAACAGTTACACGGCAGCCTAGTTTTGTAGCAGAGAGCACACAACGCAGTTTCCATAAATAGATAAATGCAGGAGGACGAGATCAAACTGTATAAAGAATTCAGTATCACAATTACATAAAGGAATGAGCCGTAAAAAGATAAAAACTAAACAAAAGCATGTCGTTGGCCTCTACAATGAGATCACATGCCTTAAAATATACATGAGACATAAGCATTATGTTATGTAATGAGCTATAAACCATGTGAGAGATTGCATCTGACAGAGCAAAACTTTAAATTCTAAGGCTACATCCACGCTTTGTTTTCTCTGCTACAGATACACCTGACCTCCACAATACTCCGGAGTTTTAGAGCTACTAAAACAGAGAAGTTTGGAAATGCTGCTTTCTCTGTTTTAGTTTAAAAAGTGCTTTTTTGTCTGGACGGGCAGAAACTGAGATATTAGGAAACTACATCATAGACACTCACAACCACTTGCTGTTTGGGGTCTTTTTGGTCACGATGTAGCCAACCCCTTTCTTGAAATGGCTGCCATTAGCCTTAGCTACTAGTGTTGAACGCAACATGAATAATCAATTACAAGAGTTGCTGATGTTGTCTTTGCTAACAGCGGTTGAGCAGTTAAGTTCTGCATTTTATAATAATACAACTGCTAACATGAGCTGTTATTAAAAAATTCTGCAACTAACACGCACATGTCCTGTGTACGTGAGCCGTCACATGATACGCGTTATCAGGCATGTTAGAATGGACGGGGATAAATCCGTTTCAGTTTGAAAACATGCATGTAGCCTCATTTCTATGCTGCTTTGTAGAAGCCATAACACAAGTTCATGCACTAAAATCCTCTCTCACAAATAAAAAAATCTTACCGCAGACTCCAAGGGTCTGCCATTCTGGTTAAAGTGCCGTTCCACGTATTCTGAAGACAGGAGGTGACTGCAAACGGAGGAGAGACACTGTGATTATTTCTGACAGCGTCTTTTCTATCACCATGCAATCAAAAGGATCATTTCTACCACTTGCTCTCCACTTCAATGCGTTTCACAAAGAACGAACAAAACAAATTAACATGTGGCGCTAATGAAAATCAGTGGAAAACTCATGAACCTCCAGCTGTGTGAGTCTGAGTGTTGGTATTCCCCCATCTTGTCACGTAACACGATGGAGGTGCTAAGTGCATTTGCTTAAGTGTGTGGGAATGCTAATGAGAGCAGTTGAAATAAATGGAGAGCACCCGCTGATACAGGCGTGCAGGAAAAAAAGCACATCTCAGTGTTTTTGGATGGAGAAATACGAACTGGTTTAGCTCCAGGTCCAGAGTGAAGGTGTGTCCAAAGGCTTCCACTCGGAAACAGCTCTGGGCCAAGTGAAGAGGCTGTAAATAAAAACACAGCAGAGACATGTTGGACAGTTGATATATTAAAGTGTAACAAAACAATTGCAGTTAAGTGTGTTGCTCTTTCAAAACCACGCAGTGGATTTGATAAAGGTATCATGAATAATTCAGCGGAATCAATAGTGCGTACACTCTAAAAGCATCTCGGCTGCCGAAACCCTGTGATTGATAAAGTCCTCATTGATCGACATTGGCTGCCAGCGTTCGGGCGGGCGTGAGCGGTGGCTGTTTAAGAGCTCAAGCTGGAGTTTTGCGATGGAGATGGATGGAGAGGGGTTGACAGAAGGAGGGGAGAAGGAGGAGGAGAAACTTTCGTGGTATCGTCTATATTCGGCCAAGCTGTGCCAACGTCCCTTGTGGACAGCTGCCAGAGCTGGGGAGGTGAGGAGACAGCAGGGCCAGGAGAGAGAGAGCTTTACTGCAGACTAAACAGTGTGTCTCTTCGGCAGCTCTGACTGTGCCAGCAAGGATTGATCTCAGTCTGGAGGAAACAGGCTGCAGTGAATCACTGGGCTTTTACAATATAACACATCACTATCCAGGAATTATTCCCTTCACTGAGTAAGGACAACAGATTTCTCACTACTGTCTGGGCGAGGCTCGAGAATGGCGTCCACAAGTGCTGACAATGTTTCACCGCTGTTCTGATCGTTATATGTGACTGTTCTCACACGTGACAATCTGTATGTTCTTGTGCTTTCGATCGTAATGCATGGCAAGTCTACAAATCTATGTACGTGATTAGATACCACGTCTTTAGTTTCACCCAGGTAAGACCGCAATTTAAAAAAAATGGAAAACACTTCTTCTTCACAGCTCCAAAACAGCAGTACTTTTTTTAGAACGGCAAAGAATATGTGGCTTACGGTAGTGTAGAGTTATGTCAGCGATTCAAAAAGTCCCATAAGTGAAACGTGTATCGTATGCAAGAGTTTCGAGGGGTGGCGCTGATTTTTCCAATTACAAGAGTAGCAACAGGCAAAACAACAATTACAGCAATCATCTCTTCCGTATAGAGTTAGTAGCATTTAGCTGGTGAAATACGTTGTTATATTTTAAATGCACTGGTATCAGATCAGTACTCTGTATCATCTGACCATGTCTAGCTGCTCTGTACATTCTACATTATGCTTTTCATTTTGATAGAGGTTAAGGAAAACTTCTTATCACTCTCTTGCTTCTTTTTATCCATTTATCTATCTATATATTATCAAAAAATAATAATAATAATGATACATTTTCAAAAAAAGGGTAATGTGAAGCAGATTAAACTGCTGATTTGAGTGGGAACTGGTCTAACTTCTTTTCTCTATTGACTTATCCCAATATCTCAACTACTCACTAAACTCTGTTACATTTGTGACATGTGTAACTAGTATCATAGATATCAGACAATAGATATATTTTCACCGACCAACTAATGAAATAAATATCTGGAAATCTTCACCTCAGCTTGAGGACAAATGTCCAAAATTAAAAAGAAACAGACTCTGTGCAAAAAATATCACTGTCAATTTATAGGGAATCCAAAGTAAACACAACAAGTGATGAAAAACAAAAATGCTGCCTCATCTATTTTAAATGCAGCATGATGTGACTCATCCCCTGCTGGTTCTAAATTCATCTTGTCCGTAATTTCAAGCACCTTAAATATTTTTTTAAAAAGCGACAAGTATGGCAGCTGAAAAACTGAAACATTCTACACCTGAGAAGGGAAATTATCAGATTTTTTGTTATCATTTACTTTGTTGTTTTATGATATAGAATTCATCTAGACAGCTTCTCCTGCAGGGAAACAACATCCATCTCAACTGTAAATCCTGACACACGTGACTCTAGTGTGTGTAAGGAGTCTAATGTATTCCATCATAACAGTTATATGAACTACATTAGATCAGCATGACGGAGAGAGAGAGAGGATTGGGGGGTGTTGTAGCCTCTTGGACCATGTAGCACTTCTCACACAGGCCTGTTCCATGATTAATGGGGACATACTTCAACACACCACTGAATAATGAAGAAGTTGGGGGCTCGGCACAGGAGCAGGATGATCGGACGTGACGGCTGAATATTTCAGGAGCAGCTACACTTCGTCATGTGGAGACGAGGGCCACAACAAACGTGCACACAAACATTTACTCCGCCCGTTGATTCACTGTGCATTTACTACCAGTGTTTGCCAGATGTTTCAAATAGAATTATCAGAGTTAAACTTGGTTTGCTTCACATGACTTCACTTGACTTTGGACATTCAGAGGGATTCTCAGGGACTAAAAGTAGGTCAAAATTACAGGGAGCGAACACTGCTGCAAGACACCACCCTGCACTGTCATCCCTCTGTAGCAGGAGCTGCATGAGCAGCAGAGAGCTGAGCGCTGCGCTGTTTTACAGACAATGAGGTTTCCTTCAGCAGGACGAGTCTATCTTAGAACGGACACACCCCTTTATGTCCACACAGACTTGCTTCAGTTCCAAACACAGTAGTCTTCTCTAAGGATGCATGCTGAGCACTGGACCTTTAAGATTTTCTATGGGGTTGATTTACTCGAACATTGAACTGAAGACTCACATTTTACATGATTTTGGTCCAAGATATTATGCACCCACTTATTTATCTGTAACATATGAGGTCATTTTCTGATTTATAAAAGTATCCTGAGACACTGCCCATCTGGAATACTTCCTACTTAATAAAATATAATGTGATTTATCCTTATAAGGGACCCCTGGGTGTCCCTGGCATCTAAATCAAAAGCACTGCTTTCAGAGTGGTTCAGTGTGAATGTAAAGACATTTTGAGTGAAACTGGTTTATTATCCAGACTCCAAACTTACCAGTGTGTCCCCAGTGCTGTTCTTCACCCTGGTATCCAGGTAGTCGTGACCCACTTCCTCCTCCGACTCGATCTGCTGCACCAGCCACTTCGGGTGGGTGATCTCGGTCTCCGTGTCCCTGCTGTCCGGCCGTCCTGCCGGGTTAAACCAGCCCCACATGCCTCCATCCTGCTCCGGGCTCCTGTCCAAACCTGCATGTACAGTACAACAACAGGGAAAGTCAACACAGGCCGGCTTGTGGTGCAGGAGAGGGGTTGGTGAGGCAGGGACTCACCTGAGCCTCCCTGAGGTTGACCTGGTTGTGTTTTTGTGAGGAAAGCCAAATGACAGAAATTGGAAAGAAGAGACATGTCAGTGTTTTTCTTTTTCTTTAAGATGATGGCATGGTGACCTAATTTATCAAGATTTTGCAATGTGCTGCTGTATTTTAAGAAATGCGGTTATTTTTAGTTTAGATGAAAAATAATACATCCACTCACTTGTCATCTATGGGCTATATACAAGACAGACGCCCATACAGTCTATACACAGGGCTTCACTCTCAGAAATCATCAATCAGGCTGCAAAACATTGTCTACAGTGGACATCTCAGAGCTTTTAGGTGTTTACTGGATAAAACGCAGTTGTAAATGGTTATGGGGATGTTGTATAAAGGCAATGGGGCTGCGGTGGAAATGTGTTGATGCAGCAAATCTACGCATCGGAGCGGGATGCTCTCGGGCAGGAGGTTGGAATTGGCACCGACACCTCGCCTCAATAAAACCGCAGTTTAGAAAAGTGCTGGTGGAAGTGGGGGGAAAAAAATGTGGATGCAAAGGAAATGAAAAAGGGTGTTCCTCCTCTTCCCTCTCTCCCCCCCTCTTCCCTCTCCCTCTCTTACCTGAGACTGCAAGCCTCTCGCCCACTGCAGCAAAGACCATGAAGCACCACACCGCCCGCATGATCTTCACATATTCCCCCGGATCACACCATCGAGAGAGCCGCAGAGTGTCACGAACCCGGCCGATGGAGAGGAGACGGAGCGAGGGGTGCGCGGCTGGAGCGATGGCGAGGATCCAACGTGAATGTGTTACACGCCTGATGATGCGCGTCCACTCATCTCTCCCTCTCTTCCACTTCCTCTCAGATCAGAATAATGAAAAATGAAGTATTGTCTACAGGCTCATGGAGGAGAGGATCGTTACAGGCCCGTGGATTGATCAGTGAGGGGGAAGAAACGGGAGAGCGCGCGCCGCGGATGCTGTACAGGCTTTGCGCGGGTGCGTATGTATGCGTGTATGAGCTTGTGCGCGTAGCCTAGGAAAAGGCGAAGAGAAACGCGTTGGGTCTGCGGTGGAGGAAGACACGTGGGACCGTGGTACCCTCCCTCATCCAGAGCAGCCTCCTCCTCCTCCCGTTGCCATGCAGCGCAGCGAGGGGAGAGGATGGTGATGCTGTTGCTGGTTGTGGTGGTGGTGGTGGTGGTGAGTGGAAGAAAACCCATTCAGAATGTTATTGGGATTAACAGTCGGTCCGTTGTCCCAGTGTAGTGGTATGAATATTGGAATAAATGTGCTGTGGCATTACAGGTCTGCAGAGATGAGACACAAATAGATGCTTTACTGTCACTAAACATCAGCTATGACCTTTGACCATGAGCTCACATTAACTAAGCATGTCAACACAGTGGCTCAGGAAACCTTCCAGGATCAGCATGTTTTCATTCAGAAGAAACGTAGAAATTTTCATTCACGTGCATCTCAGTGTAAACAAAGGTATAAGAACAATTCTTTATGGACAAGTATAAGTTACTTGTTTCCTACATTTGAGATAAAATACTCTGAAATACTACAGTAATATTGCAAATAGGATTCTTCAGGATTTAGCCAACATGACATTTCAATGTCACACATTTGTTACTAAAATTACTTTTAATATCACTTTAAGAATGTTATGAATTAGAAAAAATACAGAAAAACTATCATTATCAGTTGGTCACAAAACACAGAAAGAGGATCACAATTTAAGAGGAGGGGGTGTAATTTATTTTGGGGGTCATGAGCTGGAAAGATTTGGAACCCCTGATATATATAACACTAAATTACTTATAGATCCACTAGGACAGTATTAGCTAACAGCGATTTAGATACAGATGGCAGGTTGACTTATGCATCTCTAAAAGTGTCCCAACACATAATCCATTGGCTCCTCATTGATAAATACGGTCAAACAGTGAAAGTGACGTCCTGCACTTCTCTGTCAGTTACTGTCTCAGCCCTCTGTGACCTGCAGGCTTTGCTTCTTCGATGCAGTTAAGTCTCAGCATCCATCCAGCACATCCCTCTAATGGAGGCGCATTGTGCACTGACAGCCCCCACTGAATATTTCATCTACACAGAGACAGTGGGGAGCATGCTGCAGAAAATAGTAGACAACATCAAGGTTCCAAATATCCCTGCGCCCCCTCCATAAATATAAACGATGGCTGCCTCAAACTCAAAAACAGACATCAGATCAGCATGGATCAGCCATTCTCCTGTTAATGAGACTTCAAACATGATCATCAACAACGTCTCCTCTGTTCCCTGGAGTGGTTTTCAGCTGATGAAATGTAGAAAAGGCTACTCATCATCACACAGTGGTAACAGAGGCAGGCCATTAAGTATTCAACAGTGGTACAGCTGACTAACCAACTGCAATGAGAGTGGAGAGGAGTCAGGGCTGCAGAGAGGACGCTGACTTTGCTTCAAATGAAAGGTTATTAGGATCACATGTGATTTCTAGAGAGACTTAAATGATGCTATAGGTCACATAGCAGGACCAAGTCATGCATCATTACTTTTGTCCAGGGAAGAGAAAATTCAGATTCACAACACTGCACATTCACATTCAGCAGCTCTATAAACCACGGCCCATCAAACTAGAATTGCACTGAGCACATACTTCCACCGAGGCCCAACAATCATTTCATGAAACCATCTTTAAATTCCCTATATCTACTCAGATGTTTTGCATCCAGATGCTAAGAATTATTCTCTGAGAAATCCTATGTGTTAATCCTAAATTAAGTGATCTAAACTTTTATGGGTTCTTTCCTGACCCATACTGCATCCTCCCACCAAGTTTCACTGTCACTTCTCCAGTAGTTTTTGTGTAATTCTGCTAATCGACAATCAAGCAAACAAAATATATGATATGAGCACCAAAATGGGGTTCTCTTCCGACCCATACCACATCCTTCCACAAAGTTTCACAGAAATCCGTAAAGTAGTTTTTGCGTTATCCTGCTAACTAACACACAAACAAACGAACAAACATAGACATCAACTTGTATCTGTGTCCTTAAACCCAAGTTTCAGTAGAGAAATAAAACCCACCTAATGACTGAGAGAGAAACATGTTATATTTTCTGCAGAGTGAAAAGACCTAATCATTTCACTATATCAGTCATAAAACAAATGTGAAAAGCCGAACAGTCAGTGACGTAAACCTCAGAGGCTGAGCCTGGTGAGACAGACACACACTACCCTCTACTGTGCAAACCAGAGTATAACAACGACACACAAATAGAGTTATCAGCATTATTTCCATCACATTTACCAAACTCAGGATAGATCTACACTACGGGACAGTTCTTGCATCGCAGCCATTTTGACATTAAAAAGCAATAAACATTCTGCTGTATTTAGATACAGAGCCTTCATTAATATTATTAGCAACTGGTGTTCACCTACTTTATCATGTCAGAACAGCTGTGAAGAAGATCTACTGTATAGGCTATGTTTGTCACTAAATTAACTAGTTCCCAATAAAATAGCTCCCACAGTATAGTAGTCAGGCCACATTTATTATAATTGAAACGTGGTTTCATCAGGGGACTGTTGGGCCTTGGTCTCTGCTCATTCAGGAAGATAAAACCTCCAGGATCACACACAGATGAATGTTGTGTCATCAGGCCTATAAATGGTCTGTATTTATATAGCACTGTTCTAGTCTTGATGATCACTCATAGAGCTTCACAGTGAAGTTTATTGCCATTCACCAATTCACCCACGTTCATACAGTGCAGCTATGGGCAGCACTTTTTTTAGGTTCGGTATCTTGCCCAAATTTAGGACACTTTCGGTATGCAGATGGATCGAACCCTGATATTCTGGTTAGTGGCTGACCGCTCTACCTCTAGTGTTTATCACCATTTTGTTGACTTCTCACAGAATAATTCATGGATCTTGATGGAATAACAAGTACAAGTATGCAAAATGTAGTGCAGATTCAAATAATGTGTATTAATAAGTATTTTTGATGCTTTGTAAATTATGTTCCACTAACTAGAAGGTCAGTCTCCCTCACTCTGTGTGCTCAAGTGTCTTAGAGCAAGATACTGAACCCCTAAGAGTGATCTGAAAGTGCTGCAAATAGATGCACTGTATGAATGTATGTGTGCAGAACTTTGACTGGTCATCGAGAAAAGTGCTATCTAATTGCAGACCATTTACCTGTATAGCACATTACACACAACTGGAGTTAAAGCTAATATGCTTTACAACCATTGAAAAAGAAGACAACACAAGATGAGATGCAGATAAAATCCTAAACAATGACGAAGTGTCCAAATCCTTCACCTGTGTCGTTGCCTTTGTTTGCACACGGCAGATGTTCACAGTAATTAAGGTTAATTACTTTCTGCTTTGTTTCCTGACGGTGGCACCGGGTTGAACCAGTGATCCGGACGCTGCCAATTACACTAATGAAGCGCTCTCCAAACAGGCTATAAGACCGGCTGACTAAAGCGGCCGCTCCTCCATGAGAGACAAACATTACGCAGGAGAAGTGTTGAGATATCGGATGAAGATGGAGACTGTGCGAAATGAGAAACCTGCGAAGGCTCCACCGAGGCAGCAGCTGAAGTGCAGCCACCTCAACTGTGAGGCCACTTTCACCAGGCAGTGGAAACTCAAGGAGCATGAGACGGTGCACACCGGAGAGGTAGGAGGACAACTCTGATACCTGGCAGCAGTGGTGCAGGAAGTACTCCAATATTTTACTCGAGTAAACGTACAAATGAACAGAAGTACTCAAGTTAAAGTGGGTTTCAAATGTTACTTTTCCACTTGAGTAAAATACATTCAACACTTGCTTTTAAAAAAAACCGATTCCATAATGCATTTGTCTGTGTTTTCAGTGTAATACAATAATAATAAGATACTGCAGATGCTAATGAAAATACTTTTATTGTCATATTAATTAATGTCTGAGTCTAAGTACCAGACATACATCTACTTAAGTGCATTTCCATTTGCAAATCCGATAACAAAGTAGAGAAATAAAAGTACTGCTTGGCCTGCCAGATCTGGTTAAGACAAGTGTGTGCGGTTTTTCTGAATTTGAAGATTTGAGACGTGTCCTAACTTTACCCAAAATGTCCCCAGCGGCCGTGTCTGTGCTCAGTTGCAGGCTGTGGTCGACGCTTCTCGAGGAAATCTCACCTGAGCCGCCACATGCTGCAGCACAAAGGAGACCAAACATTCAAGTGAGTCACACGATGATGCATTTTTGTAAAATAAGCTCTCACTCTCCCTCTGTCACGACCTTTAACTTTACGTCCCTCAGGTGCATATTTGCGACCTGCACCAAGACTTTCGTCACCCCCAGCAAACTGAAAAGACACGTGGGTTGCGCCCATGCAGAGAAGAACAAGTTCTTCACGGTTAGTCTGAATTGCTCCACAAGATGGCGCCAACACAACGCGTTTTTATCCACCTGCTCTCTTGCCTTTGATGTTGAATAAGTTGTTTTTAAGTGTCATTTTAACCACTTGATGTTTTTCTCGTCCCACAGTGTAACCAGCCCAACTGCTCCTTAACCTTCAAAAAGCGCAGACTGCTGAAGCTGCACTTAAAGGGGCACGGTGTGTCTGTTGAGTTCAAGTACGTCTCTACAACACTGTTTATTCTTCCCTGCAGAGAAAATCCAGCCTGTAGCTTTGTCCTATGAGTTAATACAATGTCTGAAATCAATCCTGTCTGTAAAATATGTGCAGTTACCATTGTTAATGCATTAAACCTGTTTAATTCCCTGCAGTGCAGACTACAGCAGGAGATAACTAAATGGTTTAGTGGGTGTGGCCCCACTGAATTGATTGAATTTATTTTTACCTGTCTATTCCCTGTTGGATTCAGGTGCACCAAGGACGGATGCGGCGCCACGTTCGTCTCCCACAGCGCCCGCAACGCTCATGAGAAAAAGCACACAGGTTGGTCTATTTCAATCTTGGCAGGGGTTCTTTCATCTTCCACCCCTGTCAAATTCCTTCATTAAAAAGAGGACCTGCGTTTCAATTTTACACGATGACTCTCTCAGGAAAAATATTATACGTTGTGTGTGAAGGCAACTGCTAGTGATGGTCTTTATTTCCTGATGCACTCACTGACCGTGGTGTCGGGTGCCCTGCAGGTTACCGCTGCCCTCGTGCCGACTGCAAGGTGCTCGAACACACCTGGGGGAAGCTTCAGAAGCACTTGGCCAAACACCCAGGTTGTGGTCATTGTGAAAATTCCATCCCAAATGTTTCTTTAAGCATAGC